AGCATAGTTTTCCTGTTCTTCTAATAATTTTGTGTATGAAATATCCACAGCATGATCGATATCGTCCTCGTTAATTAACTCAGCTGCCGACGTTTTAAATGACCGATTTTCGTACTTGGTTTCATTATTTGGCACAATATAAGTCGCCTCCAGTTTTAAGTTGAATTTTATCGAACCCATTACTTTAAGACAGTCGCGTAATTTTTCAACTAAATCGTCTCTTGTTGCCGACAAAAACGATTGATACCCGACTACATTTTCAATATTCTTTTTGTAAAACCATAAAATTTGACTATTTAATGATTCACCCGTTTTATGAAAACCGCTCGTCGTAATGTCCTGTAATCGTTTCACCTTTACCCGTTTGCATTTAATCGTATTGTCGGTGTTACATTGTTTGCGACGTTTAGGACTAATTGCACTGGGACCTGCCTGCATTCTCTCCACAACATTTACATTTTCTAAAATCAATATATTTATTTTAACATATAAATTTTTAATAATATATTTTCTTTACTTACCAGTCGTTGACATAGCTCTCGAATCAGCATGATTTCCAATAGCTATATTATAATCCACACCATACTTTACGAGATCTAAAATATTACACTTATATTAACACTCTACTAATATATTTTCTCTTTTCATATTAGTATTTTACTGAATAATAATTGTAATACTTACGGTGTATCTTTTGAACATGGCGTACAAGTCCACATTTGTCTGAAAAACTAGATGAGCATAAATAACACTTAAATCGTATACCGTCATGGATTTTTCTATGTCTCATCAAACAGTTTTTGGCGACATACACTTTTTCACACTTGTCACAAGAAAACATTTTTAAGGTGTTTAACTGACACAACACTATTAATTTTACTCGAGTAATAATCCTTCTTTTATGCGGAAAAATCACATATTTTCATAGGAGGGTCATCAAATCATAGGTCACATATCCCCGTAAACTAACCCATTCCTTCACCACTTAAGTGATTTCACTTTAATATCATAATAATTAATTTTAAACTCTCGATTTCTAAATATTTGTATACAAATATATGTATTAGATTATGTGTATACANGTATACAAATATATGTAATAGATTGTGTGTATACATGTTTTATACAAAAACGATTACACATTAATGTCTATTAACAAACGCGGTAGTGTTACTGAATAATCAAAAAAAAAAAAAAAAAAGAATTTGATAAAATATTATTTCAAACGTATAAATATTTTCTCTATAATTAAAAAATAACTCAATTCTTATGAAATAGTATAATATTGTACATATTTATTTATTTACTTTAATATCATAATAATGATCACCTTATGATGAGTTTCATCATCACCTCCCCTTCTATGTAGGGGTAAACCGCTGATTTACTGTTTTAATACATACGTTAGTCAAGAAACTCTCTATGATCAAAGGCATACACGTCACATAGCTAAAGTTGGGTTTCGTGGGATTAATAGCCGCCGTCGCCGCTTGATTACACCTTTCACTTTTTTGCATTCAAATATTTTCATACAATTCTAAAATTATGAAATTTTTAAAATACCTCTAATTTTCTGTAATATATCAAGATATACACTATGTTGTTCCATCTACCTAGGTATACTATGCATATACCAAGGTAACTTGTACCATGATATAACGAAATGATATCTAGGAACGAGAAACATCGACCTTTCACCATATCTCCCCGGGCGTTTACACCGCCCGTCCACCTAAGACTGGGTAAACACACATCATATGGGTGGGTGAGGTGACTATGCCGTTCATCATATCCCCCCGGCCGTTTACACCGCCCGTCCACCTAGGACTGGGTAAACCTACATCATGTGGGTGGGTGAGGGGACTATGTCGTTCATCATATCCCCCCCGACCGTTTACACCGCCCGTCCACCTAGGACTGGGTAAACCTACATCATGTGGGTGGGGGTACTATGCCTTTCACCATATCTCCTCGGCTGTTTACACAGGCCGTCAACCTAGGGAGAGGAAACGGCCGGGGCCGTTTTGGGGGGGTCCCAGCTCAGACTTTATAGAACTACTAACACACAAAAAAAACTAAAAAAAAAAAACGAAATGTTAATGTTATTTTTTCATCATGGGTCATATTTTTGTAATATATTAACTTTTTTCTGTGTATATTTTATAGTTTATGTATACTAAAGTTTTACGTACGGAGCAAGATGATTTTTAAAAAAAATTGTATAATTTTTTCATTCTATTACTTATATAAATTTAAATAAATCCGTAATTAAAAGTTTCAGAGATTTCAAAACCCTAGACGTACTTATATAAAGTATAAGTTTTTATAACATTGTTAATTTTCTTTTTGATTTATTTTAGTTACATATCAGCTAATAATAATGACTTTTTAGAATCGTTTCTTGTAACTTAATCATACTGCATTTCAGTGAGTTTTTATTGCAATATAAAAAAAAAATTGTGCTTGCAATTCAAATACAGGGTGATTTTTTTATCATAACCCACTCAATTACTTACAGAATAAATATATTTAAACATTTTTTTTTTTCATTATCTTTAGTTACACATTATTCTTGAATTTTTAACTATGTAATACTTTTTAAGTTCATCCCTTATGCCTTGTTAGGGTGTCAACTTTGTTTTTTTAAATGGGAACACATATTATTAATTTAATAGAATGTTTGAGTTTTTAATTTAATAGTAAATGGCATTTGAATTTTTAATATAACATTATTAGCTTATTAGACATGAAGTTTCAAATTTTTGAATTAATATACAGGTATAATACACAAGGGATTACAAATATAGGTAGCTAATTGGTAATTTTAAATTTATCAAATCGAAATTCCGCTTATGTAGTGTAAATTTCAGGTGTGAACTTTTATTATTTTTTAAATATTATACAGAGTGATTTTTTTATCATAACCCACTCAATTACTTTATTTTTTTATTACATCGATTTTAGCAGGTACACAGCATTATTATCAATGGTAGTAAGGCATATTGTTGTGAGTTAATAAATACGCTAACTGACAATACAAAAAGTATATCTATTGATAGTCATAATTGATAATAGAAAAATCCGTGACTGTGACAACAATGTCATAAAAAACCAATTAGCTACCTGTATTTGTAATACCTTGTGTATTATACATGTATATTAACTCAAAAATTTGAAACTTTAAGTGTTTATATCTAATAAACAAATNACCTGTATATTAACTCAAAAATTTGAAACTTTAAATGATTATATCTAATTAACGAATTAAGTTATATTAAAAATGCAAATGCCTTTTACTATTAAATTAAAAACTCAAACATTTTATTAAATTAAAAATATGTGTTACCATTTAAAAAAACAAAGACCCCCTTACAAGGCATAAGGGGTGAACTTAAAAAGTAATACGTAGTTAAAAATTCAAGAATAATGTGTAATTTAAGATAATAAAAAAAAAAATTTTAACTATTATTATTCTGCAAGTAATTGAGCGGGTTATGATAAAAAAATCACCTTGTATATGTTTATAATAATAACATAATGAAGTGTAATTGCTCAGCAATTGGTAAAGCGGTGGTATTGTCTAAATAGTGTTAATTTCATAGTGAATAAAAACCATTCAGAACATTAAAATTCAATAATAACTAAATTAAATAGTCCTAAGTAATTTAGTGGCACATTCCCTTTTACATTTTTCTTGTTGTACTATCGCTAACAATCATTCATTATAAGTTGCCATTGTGATAAGAAAACGTCCAGCTGACCACTACAATACTGTCAATAATTCAACCCAAGTCCCAAGTGTCTGTCAACTACGCATGCACTGATGTCGACGTTGTTTCCCCTTCCGTTCATGTGTGACGCCGCCGTCTAGTGGTCGGTCGGTTTGTTCAAATGTGTTTTTGTCCCGGTCATGAAATCATTTTCTCCAGCCATTATTATTTTTGTCGCTAAGTACACTTACATTTTATTGGCTGCTTAACTTCTACTTTTGGCCCTGGCCATCTGGACAAAGACAAACGAGTCTTCACTCAAATGAGTGAAGACTCGTTTGTTGGCTACGGCCTGGACATCTTGGTATTATAATTTTGGTAACTTTGTACAACATTCCCATCTCTCTTTATTTCGTCCAGTCGTTTTTTCCTATATTCGTACATTGTCACGAGGTTTCTTTGAACTTTAATTATTTTTAAATGATTATGCTATTCTATCCTAACTTTCTGACACATTTTGCTCATTGAGTATTTGTAAATCGTTTATTGTAAAATATCATTTTCTTTCGTACGTTAATTATTTTTGTCGTGTCGGTATAAAAAGCCTACATTCATATTGACCGATGTCAAATTGTTAGTTTGAGCATTATTGCAGTGATAACCATTTTATTCTATTAAATATTACTAAATACCCTCTTAGCCCTTGGTCCAATCGTACATAGTAAATGCAGTTGTGTCAGAGGTTATTTCTTTTTTACTCATACTTGGTTTCTTTTGTTGTCCCTTATATTATTTAATAATTTTTAACCATGACTAGATATATGTAATATAACAGAATCTGTAATCTTTATTTTATTACGAACATTTATAATTTGTGAATGACATTATTTTATTGTACTTTGGGCATGATTATTTTATGTAAATTTAAATTTGTAATTAGTTAATTTAATTGTATAAAATTGAACATCCCCGAGTCGAAATTTAACACATCAATAGCATCTCAAAGTTTTCAAAAATTGAGACGTTTGATGCGCTAGTGATAGTCTTAAAAGTACCTCGCTCAATGGTATTTAGCACATCAATAACACTTCCAAATTGCAGTTATTCGGGATTGCCCAGGTTAGATGCGTTATTAATAGTCTAGACTTGAGGACTTTGAAATGCTGTTGATGCGCTCTTCATGAAAATTAGCATTTCACTAGCGTTTCAAAAACATCACAAATAATAATAATATGAATAATATGAATGTAAATAATAAAAAGTACATTAGTTGTCCCATAAACAGCACGGAATTAGAATAAATATAAATATTTAAG